ATTATCTCTGAAATTATTATCTCTGAAATTATTATCTCTGAAATTGTTATCTCTGAAATTGTTATCTCTGAAATTATTATCTCTGAAATTGTTATCGCTGAAATTGTTATCTCTGAAGTCTGAAGTCCCTTCTCGGCTTTCCTAGTTTAGAATGCCAAACGCGTATTAAAAACAGTGGATGTTGCCACGGGTCTTCGGTCACAGCATGCATCTAATTAACGTACTTCTCATGTGCCATTTGAACCCGACAGAAACTATTTCACGGATTTAGTGACTTCACTCTACTATGTCCTCGAGTGTGAAGTGGTATCGTATAAAACACACAGTTTATCCATAAATATACCACAAGAAACTAAAAACGTATCTAGTTTCTGCTAATACATAAAACCAGTGCCCCCTACAACGAGAAAATCTTGTTCTTCAACTATTATTTGAAGACAAAGTAACATTCCAACATAGAGTAGTACTAGTTGTAAGCTAAAGCAATATTTGTGTCTTCCGAGGATCTTACTTGAAACTTCGAGAATAAAGAATGAAAACCGACTTCCATCCCGAGTCATTCAAGCATTACAACTTACCCAAGGTATTTATCCTGAGTCACGAGAGATATCAATGAAGTTCAGAACTCCTTTGTGGATTATAGAAAACTTTTTGTTTACTCTTTGACACAACTACCGATCGATAAAAATATTAAAGATGATTTAGCCGGACCACTGAATTACTATTGGAGCTTGATTTCTATCTTTCTATAGTTTGTCACCTACCTGGGTCCCACGAGGGAATAATAAAGGCTTTTTTAAAAGGCCCAAGTTTCTTTTGAAGAGGAGAAATATTTGTGGCTCGGATTTGAGAAGCTGCCTGACAACAAAGGCTTAGTTAATGAGTAACCTTTTTCAAGTGTCAGGTCAGCCCGAGTGTAGCGTGTGCAAACGCGTAGGAGTGAGAAGCACGAGAAGCACTGCCCGGATGGGGGGTACTCCTCCAGAATAGCAGTAGGGGTGTTCCGCTGGGATTCTGAAAGGGGCACCCTGTTTATGACAAAAAAACTCAAATTTGTAGACCCTGTTCATGACAAAAGATAAAATTTATTGTACTAAGTTCCTGTTTCAATTATCATGCCATCTCGCGTATCGTTTTTTTTACGACCATAATAACCAGTTTCGGTCAATACGAAAGTAGAAACCCTGAATATGAAAGGAAACTCAGGAAGAACTTCGAACTTGAGTGAAATTGCATACCCTGTTTATGACAAGAAGCTCGAAAAACCATACCCTGTTCAGCGGATCATCCCCGTATAGTCCATATATGGGAGTACCCCCCCTCCCCCGGGAAGCACTGGAGGGCCTTGGAGGATCTTGAGGTAACCTCTGGTGTAATATAACTTATACTGATCTTTTGTTATATCTATTGACACTCTTTCTATAGATAGATAATTAGTAATAATAATATTTTTCTCAAACCGATTATTGGAAAACAAAGAATATTATGCTAAAGGAATGACACGTGATCTGAAATTGGAAAAGGTTATTTAATTTAAGAAATCTGTTTGTAGCAGCCCCTCCATCACGCGGGAAACAACCATTTCCACAGGTAACCCGATTTACATTTTTGTTGAGAGCTACTCCGGACGCATTGTCGTTCTCATTAGCCAAATCGTAGGCTCTAGAAACCCGGAAATTCTATATCTGCTACTGCACTCGCAGAACGCTCTGTCAAGTCTCGTTGGACATATAAGTGGCCCTCATTTGTATTTTTTCCTTCTTTTTTTCCAGAACAACTGACAGCTTCGTCTATTGTAAATAGTCAATTTTGAAAGAGAGGGGAGGGAAAGATGGGGGTGATTGTTGTTCAATGCTCATACACTTAACCACTTCTCACCCCACTCCCCCCCCCCCCCCTTCCCCCCGTACTTTTCTGTGCTATGGAGAGAAACAGTTTGGACAAATATAGAGTTGATAATTGCTTGTTTCCGTTGTTTTTCTCTTATTTTTCTTTTGGATTTAATAGCTGAACCAGCTGTTTCCGATTTCTTACTCTTCGCTTATTGGACTCTTGCGTATTCAGTATTAGAGTTAGTATTTAGTATAGAGGGGATTGGAGTGATGGCAATAGTCGCTTCTAGAACTGACCCAGTGATTGTAAAGAAGCGGTTAAGCATGCAGGCTGGGAAAAAAAAATTTTTTTTTTTAATTTTTATTTTTTTGCTTCTACTGATTGTCGGTGAAAAGCTTTTCTAGGTTGGCTGGAGAAATTCCTAATAAGTAAGAAAAAAAAAAAAAAAAAACAAAAAAACAAAAAAAAAAAAAAAACAAGAAAAAGCAAGAATAAAACATGAGACAAAAAAGGATAATATAAATAAATAGTATTCTTGTTTAAAACATATTTTATGATCAAAAATAGTATTTAGGGTTTGTGGAAATAAACAAAAAGCCGAAAAAATAAAAATCATTTATTCAAACAAAACTTTTTAGTTGTTTTCGAAAGGCCGAATGACTAAGTAGACCTGAAATTCTGAAAACTGAAGGAACTCTCAATAAACCAAATAATGTAGCCTGCAAAAATCACAATAGTTTTTTGATTTTGCAATTTTTCATGAATATTTGCTTATTCAGCTTTTGTTAAGAGATTTGTTAGTTGTGTAAGGAGTATGGCATCGTTCATTTTATGTTATATAGAGTGCGTCATAACTTTGGCACTTTTACACTTAGTTGTCACTCACTGAAGACAAAACAGCTACAAGAACTAGTCAGTTTGTTTAGAGACAAACTGGGGTCACTATTTCTCGTTTAACTTCGCTCAATCTTTCAGAGAGGTCCTTTATCATCTTGTCATTGCCTCGAGGTAAAAATCATTGAAGGTCTGGACTTGCTTTGACGAATTATGTGTTGAAGAAATTCAATAAAGATTTTTATTTGTTAAACTCAAGTGTCTGCTTAGTGAAAACCTTTGTGAGAAACTTAAATTTTCTTAAGTGATCTTTGAAGGGGAAAATCTTCTGTTTTTAAATATCAATTTATTAGTCGTCATTCGTGACGTCATAAAGAGTTATATTGTATGCTTAAATATAACATCTTAATTATTCTTTTGAATTACCAAAAAATAAAAAAACAAAAATAAAAATATTGAGTTAATTCTGTCTTCCGAGTGCATGACATATCTACTGTGTTTATATATTTTAAATAGAATACGATTTTTCTGGGCAGAAGCATTTATAGTAAAAAATATATTTCAAAAATTTGCAATTAGCGACATCCTTAATTAGGAACTTGATAAGACGTATTTATTTATCTCCACCGGAATATAGCAAGCCACATGCATGTCTCGCGTACATTGCCAGAAGATATATTTTGAATTGATTAATATCAAGTACTTTTTTAATTTTTAAACATAGGGCTGTAGTTATAAACAGTGAAAATCATTAAAAAGAGAAGGGCAGTAAAACCATCAAAATTGCAGTGTCGGTCAGTGGCAAAAATGTCTCGCATTCAGAAAATCTTTGTTGCTGTTTTTCAAAGTTTTAGCCTGTTCGCCTTGGTCACATCACAAAGACTCGTTCACTCTCAAGTCTTTCGCAATCGTATGTTACCAACTAGTCGGTATACAAGGTCAACTCATAGCTGTTCGGTTCAATCGACTGACTGGTTGGAATGCATCTTACGTTGCTCCGAGGACAACAACTGTGTTTCATACCATTTTGATATGGTGAAAGGAATATGTGGATTGAATTCGTTTGGACTGTCGGCGAGCTTTAGCAGCTGTGATAGTGAACGACTGGTTTATAGTGAAGGAGTTGTCTTCCAACAACTGAGGAAAGAGAAGGTATGTTTTATTATTATTATTATTATCTTTTTCTTATTTTTGTACCCGCAAAATCTTGTTCACTCGTTATGTTTATTGGCCTAGTCACTGATGAACCGATTCCTGTGATGTCTAAATTGATATCGTCCGCTTAAAACAAGCCTGAGATTTCAGCTTTTATAATGAACTAGATAGAGCTTATTTGAATGCATTGTTTTTAAACAATTTCAACATGTTATGGAAATATTTTCCTATTATTCTCTCAGTGAAATGTGAAGAAATGTTAAACGTAAAAAATTACAAACGTTTTCAGAGAGTAGCTCCTTCATCAGACGTGATTGTTAAATGATTACATTAACATTACTTATATCAAAGTATATGAAAGTAGGTAGACCCTGTAAGACCCATTTCAATAATGTAAAAAAGCCGTGCTTCAGTTCATGTGTTACATTTCCAACCCGGGCCTTTATCTCTGATATCGACTTTGATAAAGTCTTAAGAGTCTTGTTTTCTAAGATGATTTTAACAACAATTATAAAAAACTTAAAGTAAAATATTATTTGAAGGATACTGTAATGGTGTAGTTCAAAAAGGAAAGAATGAAGTACAACCAAGAACTCATAATACTTCATAATATTAGTTGATACGAATGTAGATAAGAAATGACTTCTTTTTGAACACCTGTTCCTTAGGAAAAAGGTTTGAATAATGCTTAAAAGATTTTAAGGTTTGTCTTGAAGTTCTACTAGAATTGTGTTTTTTCCTCATTCGAGCTGAGGAAAAAACCGTCCCGAATAGACTAGAAAACTCTGTTTTAAAATATGAATTTGATAAAGAAATAAAGTAAACAAAAACAAGGAAAACGTTGAAGATTAAAATAATAGTTTTATCATTTTGGGTTTCCTTTTTAAGATAAACTAATTATTTGGATTGAAAGGCGCACTAAAAACACGTCCTCACACCTTTATTGTGTTATCCCTCCAGGGTAAAAAACAGGATTACATGTAATATAGGACATAGTCAAAACTAACCTAGAATCTGGGACCCGGGAGCGCGCGCGTTTTTGGCGCGAAAGTTCCCACAATTCACGGAAAAAGCATTTTGAGTATAAGTTATGGATAATCATAAAATTGCAAGGGACTTTTCTGTTATCTTTACATCTAACAATAAACCATTTCTCAAACTTTTTTTCTCGTTAAAAAGAATACATGAATTACAATCAGTGTTGTTTTTTTTCCTTTTTAAAGTCGATGTTAGATTTCTTTCAGTTGGACTGGCTGATAATACATGTATCGGTTTTGACTGGTTACAAAATGAGCAAAGCGAGTGAGATCGACGAGCTCCGAGACGGCTTGCTTTAATATATAGACAAAAATAATGCAGTAGTGGTTGTAAATCTTTACATTTCGTACACTGATGGAGCTTGTTTATTACTGATATTGCTTATGAATCTAAAACAAATACGCCGAGTCCTAGGCCATTCCTCCCGATATGTATAATGTGCCCCGCTTTCATTACTTTTTTCAGTGTCAGTCTTTTCAGAAGACTGGTCGCCTTATTCAAAAAGAATCATTTAAATGAAATATTCTGAAGACAACGAGAAAGGCCAAGTCCTAATATTTTGAGATCTTCTTGATCCTATTTTTGCTTTGCAAACATTCTCAATGACACTCTCAACGACATTCAAATGACGACAGTTTTGTCCTTTGGCTACATTAGTATTCTATTGTAGAAACTGCGCTAAGACTTTTAAATATTTCAGAATTAACTGCACTTTTCTAATCAATCAGTCAGAACACACATGATTTGTTTGTGTAATTGAATTCGTATTTTATTTATAGAATGAAAAAGTTTATGAATATTAATTATTTTACCGGTCACTGTGAACGTCGTTTAAAAAAAGTCTTTGCAAAATATCATAATTTCTCATTTTATAGAATCGACTGAAATCCTCATTTTTATTGGATTTCATAATATTGATCTTCATTAAATATGACTTATCCTATGTTTGTTTGCTCATATAACTTATGTTTGTGTTAGGGATAAGACTGGGATAATGAGTTGGGAGAATTTATTGAGAATATTCAAAAAAATGGCAGCTGTTTAGACCCTTATTTCATGAGTTTAAGAACGTCAAAATAAAATGATGTCTAGACTTGTATATGTTTGAGCAAGCAAGTATGAATTACTTCATACTCTTTTGGTTTGAGATAATACAGAAATCGTAAAAGATTAGTGCATATGTGGCAATCATAATGCAATTGGTTATATGACATTTGAATTATGCATGAACATATACAACTTATACAGCGCTTTATATCCTCATATTAGACATACATGTAGGGGCGGATTCAATTTAGAATGGGGGCGACTATTAAAAAGTTATTACCATGAATTCGAGGAGAAGGAGCCCGTGACTGTTAGCGTTACTAACGATATACTGAGAAATTTGAGCAAAAGGGAGGTGACTAGTCACCCCTTTTAACATCCCTGGATCCGCCCCTGACATGTGGCGAGACAGTAGTAGCAATAGTGCACTCGCCTAACATCTCTGGTTTCTTGGTTTCAATTCGTGTACTCGATCAGTTAGTAGAATGGTCTTTATTCTTTTGTATCTTTTGTATGTTTTCTCTAGGTTCTCCAGTTTTCCGATCCTCCGTCCATGAACAAAACCGTTGATCGCTAAATTCCGTGTTTTGACTTGTGATTTGCACAGGTTTTTTGAGAGTTCGATGAAATTTAAAGGAAAGTTTTGAAGATCCGGTTGATGCAAATACACAAAAAGTTAATATTTCTGTTAGTTTATCCGTAATGAATGAAGAGCTCTAAGGTTTCTCAAAGTCAATTCTACTGATTATCTCTCATTAAATTGTTGTTTGATCAGTTGAATTGTAAGCTGTTGTATTTCCTTTGTTCTAAGCTGAATGCTTTTATCCGTCCAGGAAAATATTGGATTAAACGGAAATCTTTAAATTATAAAGCCAAACAAGAAAAGTATAGTATATTGTTTCCGATGCTGTGCCGTCATTTTGATTGGTCGAGATGTTTTTTTTTTTTGTTGTTGTTGTTGTTTTGTTTTGTTTTGTTTTGTTTTTTGTTTTTGTTTTGTTTTCTGGTCCTTCGTAATGAAAAGCCATGCGCAAGCCATGCATTGTCAAATACGTTTATAAACAGCCCATGGTTGAGAAATCTTGAATGTTTCGACCAACTAGTAAAGGGAAAGAGATTCCCAGACAGGAAACAAGAGTAACAACCCAATAAAACTTAATAGTGACATGTCTACAGCAAGTCTTTGATTTTGGCAAATCAATCAAATAAGAAAGAACAGTTGGTGTACTTTTTCCGAGATATTTAGGGATATAAGGCCTTAGAAAATCGTAATCAAATTATTGTGACAATCACGATGGTCAATAGACAATTGTTGAGAATAGAAATTTTGAAAAAATGAGGCTGAAACAATCATATTGATATCCGTATAATTTTCGATCCTTTTTCAAGACAATTCACTTTTCACTTCGATCAGTTCGTACAAACATGTGCCGTACTAAATTCAAGAACTTAGATGTCAAAGATAATCTTGAGTGTTTAATATTAACATCCCTTTGGGCAATCCCACACTCTTTAATATGTAATTAATTTGTTTTTTGCTAAAGTCTTCGTTTCCTTGGAGATGATGTGTAAAGAAAATAGACAGCTGATAACCAACGTTCGCCTTTCTAAGCCTTCCTTATCTTAGTAGTACAATTATAATAACCGTTTCAATTTTTTTTTGCCTGAATTTGAAAACGATAGTCATGGCACCTGCATGGAGCTTGCTATATATAGTACTATTCAAATTCATTCGTCGTTATCTTTATCCCTAAATTAGATTCGAATTCATTGCGAATTCGCAGAGCAGCATTGAAGTCAAAACAAAAGCGGCTAACCGACATCTTCATTCTAAAAAAACACTAAAGAATAGAACTAAAGGATCTATAAAATCCATCTTTTTTCCTTTCCCTATTCATACGATTTCAAAATGGCGGTTCCAAATTTGTTTAAAAGAGGGCTTTTCAAAATAGCTGCCTCGCAGAAAAAGGTCATGGTCACTAGATTGGCTTCACAAAGGGGAGTTTCAATGTCATTCTACTAAACGTAAAAACATGTTTGGCTTCACAGATCTCACAAAGGGGGGGGGGGGGGGGTTCAATGGAAGAATCCATGAAACCACCCCGCCTAGATCCGCTACTGTTTCGTGAAAGCATATTTGGATTTTTGGTCCCTAAAAACCTTCCAGGAAAGTGACACGCACTTATTTAACATGACCATTGTTTTCAATTTTTTCCGCCTTAAAATGATTACAAACCACCCACAGTGAACATTATCCGGCGCCCAACTCAATTCCTTAGTGACGCCTCCAATATTCCAAAAAAGATAATTTGATAATCAGCGATAATTTCTGCTGATCTTTTACATTACAGAATCAAGTGCAGTGTTTATCCGAGAAGACATGTGCGCCCGAACTAAATCAAGGTAAGCCCAGAGAAACATAGTTTGCTTAAAAAAATTTCTCAAAACAACGCCACGACTAAAATTTCGATACCTTTAGTTTACGAGTTGAAAATTCATACCCACTTGAATGCAGAACAGCATGCCAGCCAAGCGCCATTAAATGCTTTAGTTTTCTATTTTTATAACGGAGGAAAAAAACAAGAAAGAAAAAAAAAATGTACGTCCACTTGAGTCTTAAGAGAATTGTTCTTAAGGTGACTGCCTACTTTTGGAAATTGATTTAAGCTTTTTTTAAAACTTCGATTTTCCGAATTGAAATTTAATGCTGATTCCAAATCTGGAAAGAAAAATAGGGTGTCCCGAGCTCGTTTTCGAGATAATCAGCATTTAATGGAAGCCTACGCACGAGCTTTTGGAGTAAAAATT